AAATCAGATATGCGAGATGTATTCATCCTATTTCGTTTAAGGTAATGAAGGACTGGTAATTGAATTTTTTCGATGATATGAGTAGATCCTACGCTTCCATTACATTTCCCATAGCCATACTTCCCAAAAAGAATTGTCACCTAGGGTGGACTGCAGACTCGATATCACCTAGGAAGTATTAACCCTCCCAGCGGGACTCGAACCATGAGAGTCTAGTTTCTAATCTGGATAAGAATACTTTTTGGGAAAGAAAATTAATGTGAAATTCAAAGGAAACGTAAGGTATACTTATGTCATTGTGGTAAAAGTTAACTACTGGATCTTTATCACCTTAAACGAAATAGGATAAACACATTTCATATATCTGATTTACTGATAGTCTTAAAGCCTTACTTGAAATCTAAAAATAATTAATGTCGTCGATTACTATAGCAAATATAAGTTTACTTTATCGACAATTCCACCTCATAATGTGATACGGGAAAATTTTCGGCCTTCCTTAAAATTCTCTTCTGCCCTATGACCCAAGGGCACTCGTGGAAATTTGGCAAAGCGGTTAACGTGTCCAGATTATACGCTACACCGTCATCGTTCGAGTCCTGCTGGAGATGTTGATAAGACCTAAACGAGGCTGAAACTTATGTCCACCCTGGATGCGAATACCTCTTGGGAAAGCGAGGCTTTATGCAATTTAATAGAAATGTAAAGTCTACTCATATCATCGTGGTAAAATTCAATTACTAGTCCTTCATCACCTTTAACGAAACAGAGTGAATACATCTTATATAACCTCTTCGATTGACTGATATGATTGTCTTCTTTTAACTGATGTAATTAGTACAATGTCTGACAATATAATCTTCGTAATTAGAATGTAGATATGAATACTAAGATGATATAGCTTTTTGTTAGGTCGCAGTCCCATTTAGCTGTATAATGCTTGTTGGACCTTATTTAGCAACTTGATCGGGGAAACAGAGAGACCTTGTGGAACGTACCTAGCCCTGCGCTCTTTGCCATAGTATTAATATTGATTTCTAGCACCGAAACGTTAACTTGGTATATTACAAGACGTTTGGCCGACATCGCTGTTGGCATCGTCACTGGGAGTAGTCATCCTTAGCCCGGAGTAATAATTTATCAAAGTGGCGAATGGTAGAGGGGCCAACTTAATGTCAGAAGCCTTGCAAATGGCATCTGAAACAGGTGATGAAGATGCTCATGCTTCACTAAGTCCTTTTGAAGCGACATACTTAGACAATATATGAGGAAACGAGAGCACAGAATTATGTGAATAGTTAATTGGGCCAGATTAAACTATATTGAAAGAGCCGCAGAACTAGAAAATATGACAACTAGTAGGGCGAGGAATTAAGCCACAACGGTTGAACAGAAAAGTGGTCAATGGGATAGGTTGTAACCTTGTGCTAAGGATGGCACTTCTCACTGGCGAAGCCGATTACGATTTCACAAAAACATCTGAGAAGGCACCAAATTAACAGTCTAAGGCTTGAAATTTTCATGAATACTATGACAGAGAACGCAGGGCTAGGTACGTTCCACAAGATCTCCCTGTTACCTTGACCTAGTTGCGAATACGTTGTCAAACCATCTTCATTTCTTATTTTTCATCGGATTTTATTTGTTTAGATAGCTCATCAATAATTCGAATAAAAAGTAGTGCCGCTCAAATGAAGAACATTTTGGCTGTACAATAAAGGCATTTGTGGAGGAACGACTACCTGTTCCATGGATTCTGATAAAAGATTAGACCGATGCACACGAATAGTTAGGAAAAGCGGATTCATATCTGTTGGCTGGTCGGCAACAAGTTGGTTCACCAAGGTCACTTTAGCAAGCCTGACCATCTCGTTTGAACAATCGTCCTGAAATTGACAAAGTTGTCATTTGTTTTAAATAAGGCCTGATCACTAATAAAATTGGAGTATTAAAGATCAGTAAGTATATATATTCGCTCAAATAGTCATTGAACGCATTTCTTACATTCTATTCAAGAAATATTTGTAAGCAATGGTGTACAAGGTAGACACAAATGGCTCATGAAAGCATAATTAAATAGTGAGAATTAGAGAATTCATGACACTCACTAATTTTCTGTGCATGCTGCTATATGCCATAAAGTAAATAAAGCTTTCAACTTATTTTCTTATGATAGGGGCAGTTCCAGTTTAACGAACAATTTGAATCACAATTTCCCTGAACAAAACGTAAGCTGAGTCATTTATCAAATGGAATTTTCTCAGCTCATGAGCCACATAGACATTTTACTCTTCTAAAAGACTGAAACGATGTTCAGAAAAAATTATGGATTTTCATGGTATACTTGCGAAACTGTTGAAATTGATATAGCCAAACCGGTAAAATGGTGGAGCTAAAGCAATTTAGTTTCATTTCTCCTCTAGACTGAATAGTACTGTTTAGGATGATTTTTCCACTTGTTATCTAGTTTTGGCACCGGAACGTTGACTTGGTATATTCCAAGACGTTTGGCCAACATCGTCAGGGAGAGTAGTCATCCTTAGCCCGGAGTAATACTTGATCAAAGTGGCGAGTAGTAGAGGGGTCAAACGAAGGTCAGAAACCTCTTGGCTATCGCCGCTTCTCGATAGCCATGAAATAAAGCATAGTCCGACCAAGAGTGAATTTGTAAGCCACTTTAATGCCTCTAGCCGAGTCAAGGATAGCAAAGCTTCCCTCTTCCTCCTCATTTTTCTGAGCATTGTTTTCCAGAACACTTTATTATCCAAAGATATGAATAAAAACTGGGTTTCAAAAAATTTCTAAATGAAATATTGTGACATGACTTTCCATTCCGAAGGGAAAGTTGGTTTGAAGGAATTCGTGATGTGGTCTCATCGGAAATCGACGGAGGATTGCCGTGTAAGGAAGACTGTTGAATTGACTGAAGAAATCCTTGGCTCATCGTCTTGCGAACTTTGAGGATGTCTGTCATGGTACAGGCGAAAACTTAGCACAGTTTCATCGGGGTCGCAGGACGGTGAGCCAAGGGTTTCTTCGCAAAATTTAACAGTCTTCCCCACATGGCAATCCTCCTTCGGTTTCTGGTGGGACTAAATCACGAATTCTTTTCAACCAACTTTCCCTTGAAATAAACAGTCATGTCACAATACTTTAACATCAGGTCTGAGCTGAGTTAAAAACCACACTATGCCTAAAACAGTGCAAAGAGAAAATATTGACCGAGTTGCGTGCATCAAGTGGCAAACTACAACCACTAAACCATACTGCCTGAGTGAGAAAAAATCTTTGAAAACACGACTCACGGGTTATGCTTGGATTCTCTGAAATAAACATAATATTAAGACTTAACTAAATTTTAATTTAATCAGATAAGGCTACTAACGAATAAATTAGTAGCAAGTTAACGTTTCATCAAGCTTCCAGAATAAAGAGTGTTAATAAGATATTAGCTAGAAGTTCTGTCGAATTCAGAACTAAGCTGACTTCGTTTACACAACTTGTTCGTGTTTTTACGCCGAATTTAATTACAATTATTGTTTCGCTTTACTTACATTCATCTTCACTGCAAATTAAAATGAGCTAATTTCCGTAATGCCAAAAAAATCAACCTTTTTCTGCGACAATTGGCACCCCAGAAACCCATCCAAGAATTGCAAATTAACTCTTATATGTCGATATTGAATCTAGTAATAGGTACGGACAAAACCTAGGTCGGCTAATCAAGATGAGTAAGACCTTTTGAAGGCAATGTATGATGAAATTCTGGAGAAACGAAAGCGTTCTCACTACTGTGTAGGCAAATCATTAATCAGGTTTTTATACAGAACGCCCTAGCTTTTATACTTATATCAAGTATCAATGAATCCGCCCATGAAAGTATTTATATCGGAAATTCGAACCCAAAATTGAAATTAATTGAACTTAATCTTTGGAAACAAACACATTTTTAAGTACAGACAAGAGAAGATTGAGACAAACGCCTCTACTAAAGTACTTATATCCTAATATGATAAGAAAAGATAAAAGCATGCCAGTTTATAAAATTTTTTCCCTTTTTCTTATTAAAAGGCGAAATATTTAAGGACCTAAATTTTTCTTGTAGAGCATATTCCTTAAATTAGCTAGCTAAAATCTTAAGCCATTAATGGGCAGTATTTTATAAGATGGTATGCATCTAACTTGCAATATGATCCAAAGATCATCCAACAATTGAACTGACTTATTAATATCAAGGTCGTATTTCTGACCCTCACTAAAATGTAGAATCTGATATAGAAAAAACTTTCAACAAAGTTGCTAGCCTCTAGAAGTTTTCGCTTAATACGAAGACTCAGAACAAATGGGTAGTCGAGGAGACTGAAATCTCTGTGTCCTTCCGCCTTTTCATTGAAACGGGAAGCAGGCTTGCGCGGTGCTAGTAGTTCTGCTAGTCCGTGCTCGGGAGATTCGTTCAATAGATATGCCTCGAAAGCTAGGTTATAGAAGTCGACGAACCGAAGTCGGTGGCACGTATCAAATTGACTGGAATGTATTCTAGTTCTCCTTTGTCTAAGTAGATCCTTTCTTTCTTCATAATTTATGGGGTCATTAGCTCCGTTTATTAACTCTTTTAATTCCACTCGAGCTGAGATAATCTGTCCTGCTTTCTTCGTTTTAATTTCTTCAGACCCCGACCTAAAGTTCACACTCTCATCTCCTTCATCATCGAGGCTAGTCGCATTGTCTTCTTGAGAATAGCGTCTTTCTATGGTCAGCATGTCGGAAAAGTTTAAGGCGAAGAAGATGGAGAGACATCGCACGGCTACTGGAATCCGCCAAAGACCGGCCTTGATCAAATGCACTTCTTCCGTACCCCGAGCAAGGCAAGCTGTGAGCGAATGCTGGATGCGCCTCGTACATTCTAACATTTGACGTTTGTTGAGGAAGCTAAGCAGCAATGATAAGAAGTAAAAAGTTCTTAAACTATGCGGTGTTAAAAATAAAACTTTATGATGGAACAATGAATCAGTAATCTCACTCAAAAAAGCGACAGCATAAACTAACTTTTCAAAATTGAACTATTAGTTCATTTAGCATTTAAGCAATGCGTTTTTAACACATTTTTTAATAGTATATATGAAGTCCAAGATGGTATGGCCTTCCGCTTGGTCGCAGTCTCCTTTAGCTTTATAGTATTGGTTTAACCTTGTTTTCGCAACTTGGTCGGAGTGTCAGGGAGACCTTATGGAACTTACATAGTTCCTTATCCTGCCATAGTATTCATGATTTCCAGCATTGGATCAGCATTAAAACGTTTGAAAATGTACCGAGTCAATGTTAAAATGCTGGAACTCGCGAATATTATGACAGAGGATACGGGAATAGGTACTTTCCCAGGGCTTCCTGACGCTCCTAACAAGTTGTGAATACAAGGTCGAACCAGAACTATATTTTTAAAGTTTGTTTACTCGAGTATCTCATTACACTTGACTCACGATTGGTGTGAATCGGTTAAAGGTTAATAGATAAAAAACGAATGAAATTGAAACTAATCAAAGGTGCTATTTAATTAATTTGATGATAAAATTTTAATCTAATTATTAAAATTAGGGAAAGATATCATGCATATTGGGATGGAACAAATACTTTATATAAACATCTTTGCAGGACTTTTATAAAATCTTTACACTAAACTACAATTAAAGGATGTCTGAAATAATACAAAGTATATGAAATATTGTGCCCCCCCAAAAAAAGGACATTTTCAAAAAGATAACTTATCAAAGTTTAGTAAGGAAAGTAGGCCAGGCAAATATAATAAGTATAGCTCAAACAAAAAGTTATTTATGAACAGAAATCAATGTGATAAAGGGAAATTTCTTCGATTTATTCAGTAATTTAATCTAAAATAACCGTATAAAACACCATCTAAAGTTTTCTTCTTTTAGCACTGAGGTATGTCTTTTGCTTGAACTGAATAAAAGTTTCGTAAAACAAAAATTGCTTTAAGCGAAGATTTAGGAAACTAGAAGCATAGCGTTAGCCTAAAAGACGATATCTTATATATGTAACCATTATATATCTTGTCTTATATCACTAATAATTTCAATTGATGAATTCAAACCAAATTTCTAAAGCGTCTTTAACAAGTATAAAAGCAGCCCCCCATATCAAATTGTCTAGATTAGTGGATAAGTATATTCTTACTAAAGTAGCTGCAAGTTCCTTGTTATCTTGATTAGACGAATGTAAATATAAGCATTCATTTTCCATTAGTTTTAAATAGTTCAGATTGACGGCGTAATTTATAAATGGGGACAATATAGGCTAAGTAATGTTCACCATTTAAGAAGTGTGTCGCCGACTTGATAAAAAATCCAAAGAATAAAATACCATAGAACATTAAATATATTGTTTGAGAAACGATTTATGGAACCATTATATGCAGACATAAAATAATTGAGTAATAAATGCATTACCACCATATTTGTCTCCTTTTTATGTATCAAAAAAGTAAGGAATATAGAAGTATTAGGCGTAGGCAATAAATGGTACAAAAATATATGGTAGTTAATATTTTTTAATAAAATAATTACTAGTAAATCAGTATTTGTAACTTATACAAAAAGCATTTATTTATATTCATATATAGTTTGTAATATATTAATATTTTCATGACAAACAGGAGATTTTAAAAGGCATTCAAAATGTAGATAGAATTTTATTTTTCTTAAAATTTAGAAGAAAAATCGTTGTAAAAAATTAGAGTATACAAATTATTTCAGAATTCTAACCTTTTAAGTAAATGATTAAGGGTCTTTATTTCATTTTCTCGAAGAATTGAAATCAATTTTAATATATTGATAAACAAACCTTGTAAAGCAAGGCACTCAAATTGATCATGCTAGAAGTAATATGAATAGAATATTATCATATAGGTGTCTTTACACATACCAATAAGAGTAAAATCAGTGAACGTAATCTTGATTCCTCTAAGGTATCCCTTAAGATAAAATTATAAAATAAATATGCTTACTTATGCAAAATAAGAAAGAGTTGCTCCATTGAATTGATAATTGGTAATCTTTTTGAAATATCCTTAGACAAGTTAAATCAGTAAAAATACTTACCAAAGCAAAAAATGTTTGAGATAACATATCTAACAAGTTAACATCAATACTATCTTTATGAAAGAAAAAGTTTGTAAAAGAGCTTGGTGACTCGTATATCTGAATAATAGATTTGATAATTATTCCTAAAGAAGAGCTTTCCATAAATTTTGATTTATCACGTTTATATATTAGTGGATCTAATAAATATCTAAGCTTGACTCTCATATTAGCATTTTCATCATTTGCTCCTTTGCTGAACTTGCCATTTATTCGTTGAAGTGCATAGTTATCCGAATACTGAGTATTAATTTTTGGGAGTTCTAATCCTTTGGACGGACCAGGAGACGGATGTCTTACACTTTTGTTCTATTTTTAACTATGAATAAACAAATTAAGACATTACATCCAATGCAATTAAATTTGGACTCAAAATATTATTTTCATTTTTCAATTTTAAACCGCAAAAGGGGCACAAAACACGTATTGAATAAGATAAGATCATATTTCCACATGCCGAACAAAATAACATTTTGTATGAGTTAGCGTTGAATTTGTTCGTATGCCATTCTCAATAACCCAAAACTAAATGGTTAAAAGCAAGTAAAGTGACTTTAAAAATTAATTCTACGAACTTTTTAAAATTTTTATTTATTTTTATTATAGTGAAGTACTTTATTTACTCGTTTATATAATGTCTTATAGCTGAAATATCTAGCTTTACTTTTTTGTGATAAGGTATAATGGTACGTATAAAAACTTGGTTTTGACTACATTTTATTCTATATAAAAACTCACTAGTTTTACTGTGAAATGAATAAATGGTAATGTCACCTTTTATCATTTTTAAATACACGATTTTTATGGGTAGGATATTAGTTAAGTAAAGTAATATAATAAAATCAACGAAGACTACTTTAAAGCAATATAATATCAAATACTAATGGACAATAAATATTTAGTTGACATATTCTAAGCTCTTCCGAAATTTTATATTCTTGTCAATGAAAAGTCTTGCAATGCCGTATACTTTATTCGGTACTTCTATTACCTTGCATTTCCCTCATTAGCATGATTATTTAATTATATGGACTACACATACATGGATTATAATATATTTACAATTTATTATTATTTTTAACTAAAAAACTTTGCTGAAATATTATTACTCACACCATAAATATAGCCAAAGTGAGGCTTAGTTCGCCGTGAAATTCACAACTACTCTGCGAATCACTGGATCATGTGACTGCATGGTGGTAAGATGATATATGCAACTTGATGGGCTCGAGCCGTTCTAGAATTTGTATAGAGATGCTAATAGGACCTTTGTAAGTCCGTATGTGTAGGGAATTTTAAGTAAAATTACATGGTTTGAGTGTATCTCATAAAATATATTATTATTTATTATCATGCTTCACTCCACTTTGAGTAACTCAAATACTTATTCAACTTCTTTCGCATTTGATTTCCATATTTGATATTTATTTTTTAATATTCAGTGGTATTTATTTAAAAGTAAACTATCTAATCTATGCCACGAAACTTATCGTGAAATTGGATTCTTTATATATATGGCCTATTTTAATTAGAGTAGATTCCTGACGACAATTTTTTTAAATAACATTCTCTAACCAATTAAAGTTGTAAAGATAAGATGCACTTTTATCTGAGCACATTTTTCATTATTCAAATGCTTCCACTGCTATTCTCTTTAGCAATTTCTCTCAGCGTTCATCTTTTCTTTTTTTGTCATATTCTAATTTTTTCTCACTTAAGACAGGTTAAGTTATCTCTACAGTAACAAACCCTGAAAATTAACGCGTTCGAGTCTATATACTGAATTCATTGTTAAGTGAATCCTAGATTTGTGGCACTGGTGACCTAAAATAAAATTATATGCATCATGAAAAGACAAAATAGTTTATAGAGAAGATTACATGGTTGTCTCGTTTTGAAAAGGTCGTTCCAGAATAAGCTAAAGTTATAGTACACGTATAGCGTTCAGATATACTTCTTAAATTAAAATAAAACCCTTTGAAAAAAAGGAGAATTAAGCTTTTAAAGTTTAAGGTTTCTGTATTTGAGAATAAAAGAAACGATATTTATAGTATAGTTTCGAAAATTTTTAGTTATGACAGACAGGGCACTATATTATAATTAGGCACGAGGATTAGAAGGAAATTGTAGATATGCTGTGCCAGATGTGTAAAATAGAGAAACAAGGAAATCATTCAGGAATCTTTCTAAAATAATTCCAATATTACTGCCAAGAATTGTTTACTTATAATAAATCAGCTTTCGATTAAAATCATGACTAATTGAACAGCAGCGAACAGTCAGGCTCAATTGGATGTAAGGTCCTTCGGAATTCTTTAGGTTATGTATTTTGAGAACAATTTATGACAGTAAGTGAATGCTGAGGTTGGTAAACCTGATGCCCCTTTTGATTAACCAGTTGTTGATGACATATTTTACTTAATGTCGAGTTAGTTAATTAAGAAAAGATCAAAATGTTTCCTTGATGTATAAGACCCGTTGTAAAGAATTCAAGTATGGATATTGGAAATAATCTGTTTAAATAAAAAGCTATTGGAGTGGTTTTATATCATTTATGTAGCCCGGTGGTGAAATCTGATAAGCTTAGTTGAACTCACACTTATATAGCCACTTACATTTCATATGATAGTGCATGATGAAGAGCTTCGTAATTTGATCTCATCAGAAGATGACAGACAATTTCGATTATGCTGCAGCCATTTGGCTTAAATACATCGTTCAGACTGATGCATTACATGAGGCATACTTTATCATTTAGG